GATGTTATGTGCCCCCCCCGGCAGTGTTCCACTACTGCCAATTCCTTTCTTATGGGGATATATAAATGTTCAGGGTCCACTATGAGTGAGAACATTTGGTGCTCAGTTCTTTGTTTCTGTGGTAGATCACTGAGTATTATATACTCTAAGTCCATCCAAGTTGCTGCGAAGTTCATAATTTTGTCCTTCTTTATGGCTGTATAATATTTCATCTATATATGTACCACATTTTTTTATCCAGTCCACTTTCGATGGGCAGCACGGTTGATTTAATATTTTTACTATTGTGAATAGTGCTACAATAAACATGCATATGCAGGTATCTTTTTCATAGAGGTTCTGAGTTCTTCTAGGTATATTCCCAGAAGGGGGATTGCTGGTTCGTATAGAAGGTCAATTTTTAGATCTTTTAGGAATCATCACAATGTTTTCCACAGAGGTTGTACTAGTTTATACTCCCACCAACTGTAAGGAAGTGTTTCCTTTTCCCCGCATTCTCTCCAGCATCTGTTGTTTTTTGAGTTATTGATTATGGCCACCATGACTGCTGTTAGGTGGTATCTCAGTATGGATTTAATTTGCATTTCTTTGTTAATTACTGAGGCCAAATCATTTTTTCATATATCTGTTGGCTGCTCGTCATCTCTGCTTTTGAAGGGATTATGAAGTAGGTAAATTTTCTGTAGCCCGATTTCTCCTTTTTCTCAGTTCTAGTTCTCATTCCTGTGGTCTGTTCCTGTCCCACCTAGCCCTTCTGCTCTCAATCTGTCTCCTGCAGCAACTGATCCAAACCAATCCTTCTAAGGTAAGGACTGAGGTTAAAAATGATCTTTCTTCATCATCAAAACTCTCATGTCTTGTATGCATAAGATCTTGGCCAAGGAAAGTCCTCTGATAACTTGTTTTTCTATAATAGCTCCATGAAGTACACTTCCTGTAGCAATGTAAGCAAAACTAGGGATTTCAGAATGCCAATCTAAAAAAAAAAAAAAAGAAACTCTAATGCTGGAACATTGGAGCTTTTAATATTGCACATCTAAGCAAACTCCCACTCTGCCATCTCTTCCCCTGTATCACAGTTTTCCATTTAACAGATCATCTTGGTCTCCTGCTACATTCAATAATACAATTTCCTTTTGTCTTTTCTTTTTTTCTCATCATACTACTTTTTTCTGATTTTAAAAAGTGTTTAACTTTTTTTTGATGTCCACCTTCACTTCTGCTTGGGTTCTGTTTTGTGTAAACTTTACACATAATCTTTTTTTTTTCTGAATGAATGAATACATTCTCTATTAGTTTTGTTCTTTTCCATATAAATTATTTGAGTCAAGTTTAACATGGTTTTTTTTTTTTTGCTATTCTGAGTTGTCATTTTTTGCTCAAATTTATTTGGAGAAAGCACTGCTTATATTACTGCCCTGCTACTTCATGTATGCCGTAATAAAATTTTTGGTAGAATCAGAGAAATCTTAGTTATCTCCTAGTAATCATTATTTTTGTCATTTTTTTGGTCCATTTCTAGAGAATTTTTAATTATTTAGTTTATAGTTCATGAATGAAGTTTGGACACAAATCATAAAATAGTTTGCACAAGTCTTATGAAAATTGTTCTGATAACCTTAGATTCTCATTTACACATGATTGATATCTATTTTCCCACCTGTATATTATCACTAAGTTTTAGCACATTGCTAGGTACTTTATTGATAAAGCATAATTATTTGTTGAATGAATGAGTGAATAAACCAATAATTCTTATTCCCAGCATTTTTTTGAGTTGTTTTTTAGTTAGTACATGAAACTTCACATGTTTTATAAATACATATGGGGAGATAAAACCAATGTATATTTATTAGATAAAACCACCGAACAATTACATAGTGTAATGGAAGCCATAGATGTAAGAATTCAAATAAAGGAATCTGAATACTGAGAAAAGACTTCTTGAACGTGGAATTGAGTTAGAAATAAATGGAGAGTTTGAGACTCCCCAGGATGAATTACAGAATTTTTCAAGTGTTTTACGTTTTCTGGAGGAAAAAAGCCTGTATGTTACACCAAGATTACTTTTAATCTATTTAATATGGATTCAACAAAGCAAGAATTCTGTCAATTCTTTATCCCAGCCTCTTCAATGATGTCTGGCATCCTGGGCACTCAAAATATTTATTGAATTAATGAACAAAAAATCAGTCAGAAAACCACTCAGGAGTCAATTATATACCTGAAAAAACTACTTTTCCAAGGACATATTGGTTGACTAATTATCACTGGCTCTTTAATATTGACGGAGATTAGTTGTCCATGCTTGGTCCTACATATAACTGAAGTCAGAAGTTACAAATGTGTAGTTATAGGGCAAAAGTCCGAATGCACTATCTGTCCCTCTTCCCTCAATGTCTCTTCCACCTTTCTGACAGATTATTTGAAGTTCCTTATTTCAGATTTATTGCTTAGTTTTAAGATTTTCCTTTTTTTCCTAAAACATTTGTTCATAGTAAAAAAAGCTATGCTGTACAGAATAATGACTTTCGAAGTTGTCTATGTCCTAACCCCTGGATCTATGAATCTGTCACGTCATATTGCAAAAGAGGCTTTGCAGATATGATTACTTTAAAGATTTTGAGGCTTAAGATTATCCTGGATTATCTGAATCTACCCTATGTAGTCACAAGTGTTCTTATAAGAGGAAGAGTTAGAGTCAGTGAGGAGATGTGATGACAAGTAGTGGTTGGAGTGATGTACTTTGAAGAGGGAGAAAAGGTTCATGAGATAAGAACTGCAGGCTGGAAAAACTGGACACTAGAAAATCTAGAATCTGGAAAGGGCGAGGAAATGGATTCTTTCTTCAACTCTCCAGAAGGAATGCAGCTCTGTTGACACCTAGGTTTTAGCTCTGAAGACCCATTTTAACCTTCTTTCTTTCTGAACTATAAGATGATAACTTTTTTTTTCTGGTGTGTATTTTAAGCCACTGAGCTTGTGGCAACTTGCTACAGCAGCAGTAGTAAACTAACACAAAATCTACTTATGGTAAAAAAATTTCCAATGGGAGTCATAAGATCTTGGTCCCAGTGTAAACTTTCTCACCAATTACCTTTGTGACACTGAGCAAGCCACTTCGTATATCTCTTCTTGTATGAATTATTTCACTGGTATAACATAAATGTTGGACTAAATTAGGGATACCCCGTTGAACTGTAAAATTCTGATGGCTTATCTCTGGCAGTTATTCTTTATTCCTAAAAAAACTGATAGTGCCTTACCTCCCCATGCTGGAATCTGGCCACCATTTCTTAGTTTATTTTTTGGACTTAATTTCTTTTCTTTTTTTTTTTTTTTTTGAGTTGGAGTCTCACTCTGTCGCTCAGACTGGAGTGCAGTGGCCACTGCCGGCCACTGCAGCCTCGACCTGCTGGGCTCCGGTGATCCTTCTGCCTCAGCCTTCCGAGTAGCCGGAATTACAGGCATGCACTGCCACGCCCGGCTGATTTTTTTGACTTATTGTAGAGATGAGGTCTCGCTGCCCAGGTGGGTCTTGAACCCGCAGGCTCAGGCAATCCAGTCACCTCAGCCTCCCAAAGGTGCGGGATTGCAGGCTGAGCCACCGAGCCGGCTTGGACTTAATTTCTACAACTCAATCATTATCTTCTCCCTAAGTATAGACACAGACACTGTCTGGCTTTTATCACTCAACATTTTATTTCTGTCACTCTTTAATCCATTTCCATTTTGAAAATATAAGAAGTTACCTTTGTGTGCTACAGTTCTTATCTTAGGTGATCCAATAGATGTGTATATCTATATTAGAGATTATTTGTCTCAGCTCATCATATTTTAGAAAAGAAACGGACATTTTTAAAAACAGTTATGAAATAAAGTGATTTCTCTCATTTTTGAAACATTTTAGAAACCTTTTATTGATTATTTAAATGTGATAATTGAGACCCCATATTTATTTTTATGACATCTTGTATAGTGTTTTTTTAAAAAATGCTTTACCATGTTTTGCATTATTATTACTATTTTTAATTTTTTAATTTTTAGTTTCAAGGGATTAAGTGGTTGAATAAGCAGAGAAATTAGCTTGGGATCCTGTGATAATTCCTGATTGGCATACTATTAACATACTATTAACATAAGCCTTACTGAATTATTATACACTCTATTAACTTCAGTCCCATTGATGTATTCCTTCATTCAACAAGTGTGATGCACTTATTATGTGACTGTGTTAGTCACTATTGGTGATTGTGATGATGGTAGGGGCAAACAATGCCGATCAAACATGATTTCTGTAACCAAGAAGCTACATTTTAATTGGAGAGATAGACATTTATATATTCATGACAGGCAAAGTAAAATAAATTCTAACAGTACATTGAGAATATAAAGACTATGGCATATTGGGAAGATTTTACAAATAAGGGAACATTTACCTGGGACTTTGAGAACTAGCTTTTGTGAGTTGGAGAATAAAATAAGAAAAATTTTAAAATTTAAAGAAGGGAAACTTTTAAAAGTCGAATTAAGCACTAAGAATAACAGAACAGAGACTTTGAAAGCTGTATGCTGTGCATAAGTAATTGTTAGCTGACTCATGTGACTGGCTGAAATCATATTTACTCACAAGAAAATGATAGTGAAAAGAATTTAAGGATGGCCTATTAGGTCTTCCGAGTAGAACATCATAGGCAGGAAGAAATAGGAAATATCCATGTTATACTAGACAAAAACAGAGAAGAAATAGGTCCAGAGATGAAACTGATTTAGTAGTGGCAGTTTTGAAACCATATGGGAGCCAGCTGACCCCTCCAATGAGAATTCCAGTATGCACATGATGAAGGTCATTTGGCTGTGTGAGATGTTAATATGATACCCATTTTAATGACTAGCGGTTTTCTTTTTTTTTGAATACTAAAAGTTGCTCAGGTAATTATTTCTCATTTTATTTTATTTTTTAGGTAATATGAAAGCTGATCCTGGAGGCAACGGACGGAATGAATCACTCTGTGGTGTCAGAATTTGTGTTTCTGGGATTCACCAACTCATGGGAGATTCAACTTCTCATTTTTGTCTTCTCCTTATTGTTATACTTTGTCAGCATGATGGGAAACCTTGTCATTGTGTTTACTATAACCATGGATGCTCATCTTCACTCCCCCATGTATTTCCTCCTGGCTAACCTCTCAGTCATTGATATGGTATTTTGCTCAATCACAGCCCCTAAAATGATTTGTGATATTTTCAAGAAGCACAAAGTCATCTCTTTTTGGGGATGTATTACCCAGATCTTCTTTAGTCATGCTGTTGGGGGCGCTGAGATGGTGTTGCTCATAGCCATGGCCTTTGACAGATACGTGGCCATATGCAAACCTCTCCACTACCTGACCATTATGAGCCCAAGAATGTGTCAATCCTTTTTAGCTAGCTCTTGGGTCATTGGCTTTATCCACTCATTGGTCCAATTAGTTTTTGTGGTAGATTTACCTTTTTGTGGCCCTAATATTTTTGACAGTTTTTATTGTGACCTTCCCCGGCTGCTTAGACTTGCCTGCACAAATACCCAAGCACTGGAGTTCATGGTCACTGTCAATAGTGGACTCATATCTGTGGGCTCCTTTGTCTTGCTGGTCATTTCCTACATATTCATTCTGTTTACTGTATGGAAGCATTTTTCTGGTTCTTTATCCAAGGCTCTCTCCACTCTGTCAGCTCATATCACCGTGGTCATTTTGTTCTTTGGGCCATTAATGTTTTTCTACACATGGCCTTCTCCCACGTCATACCTTGATAAATATCTTGCTATTTTTGATGCATTTATTACTCCTTTTCTGAATCCAGTCATCTATACATTCCGAAACAAAGACATGATAGTGGCAATGAGGAATCTGTTCAGTCATTTTGTGCATTTTGGGAAGATTTAATAAATGAATTGGCTAAGAAGATGTGGAACTATGGAGTCTCCCTCATCCTGGCTGCAATAAAGAATTACGCAATTTCAGCGAAATGCCCAAGACTTAGGCCACGTTATATGCCTGGAAATCTACTCTCTGTTAAGTTATGGTACCTATTTTACCATTAAATTAGAAGTGTTTTGTTCTTTGATGCACTCTGCGCATCAAAGTGCTGCATATAAAATCTTATGTCCTTTGTAACTTACTACTTTGAAAGTCCTTGTTCTAGGAGAGTGCCATGTAATTGTGCAAATAATATTTTATCTTTTTCTATACAGGACAGATTATTCTATTGGTATTCATCACATGATTGTTAATCTATTTACTACCTGTCTTGATTTTAATTCTGTTCCAAACTGTTTATTTTCTATGGATACATTCTCCACCTAGTTTCCTTCTTTATCACATTCCTCTGTCTGGCAATCTGGGAAATTGTTAGTCCTATATTTAGAATATTAAAATTTAAAGTTAGAGTGGATTACCAACATCATTTGTTCCAATCCTCTCAAATTACACATGTTAAAATCCACAAATTGAAATGTGATGGCTATTTGCCCAAGGGTACAAAGCTGTACATCTCCAAAGAGAGCCAACCACCAGAAACCCTGACTCTGGCTGCTAGATTGGTGCCCTTTCACTTTTAAATCAATTTTATATTTGAGTTTATGCTCATATTACAGTCTTCCAGCTTTTCTTGTAGACCTAATTTTGAGTCTATTTGAAGAGAAATCTTTACATCTTTCCTTTGTCTTCCTTCCTCTCAGAAAATCGTCATTATTATTTAGCTCTTCTTTATCGTTTCCAAATTTTTCCCTAATTTCTACAATTACCATACACTTTCTTGTTCGGGTCCTACCAAAGCTGAATTTTAAGTCATTGCTTTAACTATGAAAAATTTTTAATTGTATTATTAAACAGAGTTCTTTTGTTTATGGTGGTATTCATAGAGACCTTTGATCAAATTCTATTTTACAGAACTGAAGTTCATTCAAATACTTACACTTGATGATATTTCCATTTTTGGGGAAACAGATATGATTAGCGAATTGTGTAGGTCTGCTTAAGTAAGTCACATTAAGATTATTATGCTTCTTTCTCAGAAAGATAAATTTCAAATATTTCAGGAAAAAGAAAAAAGATAATATTTGTAAAATATGTGTGAAAATTTTCTTTTTCCAAAAATTGTGCAGTTTTCTATATAACATGGTTACTAGAGTAGAAAGGAACCTATTTATTGAAGTTTCTGTCATGAAGTGATGGAGTTATGATTGTCTCTCATTATTTTGTCCTAAGGGAAACAATGTTGTTGCTATTCATATAGCACTTCTTATGGCCCAGGTTTGTTCTAAGAGCTTTACCTTGAATCTTATGAAACATATTCTCTCATTATCCCCATTTTATAGAGGAAATGTCTGAAGTGCAGAGATGCTAAATACCTTAAGGTCTATGAAGTAGTAAGCCTGGACACAAAGTCTAGTCATTTGAATTTATAATCTGGAACATAATTCCTACATTATAATGCATCTCTGGTAATAAAAATATCAGAATAGCTCATTTACCTGAAAGCAATCCCTGATTTGGGCCCTCTGGGTGAGCCCATCACCACTAAAGCTCGGTATTTCTAGAGCCAATCAATTTACAACCATTTATTGTGTATGCACACTCATTCAGCCATTTTGTTCTAGGCAGTCACTTTTATTAGGGAAGTTGAAATGCCAGAATTTCATTGATATACTGTAGAGGAAAAAGTTTAAAACTCAAGAAGATATTTGAATTGATCTACTATGTGTAACTCTGCAGTTGTGGGAGGGAAGTCTTTTGTTATATCCTGCTTAATTCCCTTCTCTGCAGTAGAATTGAATTTGATGGTACTCCCTAACAAATTTCCTGTTTACTAATCTCCATTTCAGAGTCTATTTCCCAGGGAATTCAGCCTTTAAGGCCAGTTTCCTGATCCCTTTCATACTATTGTCAGAGAGGAATACCAAAGGCATTGATGTAATATGGAATGTCACAGTGGTCCATTACTCTAATGCTAATCGAACCTGGAAAGTTAAAAGTAATGAATACTCTAGATGCCTTAGTATAGAATGCATGTGGGCAGGGTGTGGTGGCTTATGCCTGTAATCACAGCACTTTGGAAGGCCACAGTAGGAGGATCACTTGAGGACTTTGAGGACAGGAGTTCAAGACCAGCCTGGGCAACATAGCGAGACCTTGATTTTTAAGAAGAAAAAAGTTAACTAGGCATGGTGATGCTTACCTGTAGTCCCAGCTACCCAGGAAACTGAGGGTGAAGGATCACCTGAGCCCAAGAGGTTGAGGTTGTGATGAGACATGATCGTGCTACTGCATTTCAGCTTGGAAGGCAGAGTGAGATTCCTACTAAAAAAAACCCACAACAACACAAAAAACAAAACAAAACAAAACAAAACCACAACAAAATGTGTAAGATGATGAAAGACAAATTCTGTAATGTTCAGGGACTTCTATCTCTAAGTGGTTTGGTGGCATGCCATGGTATCTCTTCTAAAGTTGCTATACCTTGCAATGCCTGCCACAGAGAAAGAGACCCAATCCTTGATGAATTTCTTTGGATTTTGGAGGCAGCATATAATGTAATTGGGTGTGTTTATTGGAGAATCACAGACTACGAGTTTTGATTTATGTCTGTAGCAACTAAAATCTCTATAGATAGTCTGGAAGGCAGTAGTAACCTGCATGAGCAGGAGATTCAGACTCATATGGTGTTTTACTCCTTCACAGCATCTCTTTTTTTGGATGTTGGGAATTCTCTGTGACCAAATAACAGTGGTGGATGAAATATGTGCTGGTTTATCATACCAATATGCATACTATGCTGGTATCATCTGTAAGTGAATAGCCACTGCATTAAACATTGCTAAGTGATTTCTCTGAAGGACAGTGGTGAAGAAAACCCCTTCAGATGGGAGGAACTTCAGGAAATACATTTAGTTATGCACTTCCTTTGGAAGGAGAGATGACCTGAGATACAGATCTTTCTAATTCCTGGGCAGGGCTGATTGTTTAGTTGTTTAGGGTCTAAGAAAGAACAAGATTATAAGATTATAGGCATGGAATTCTGGAGAGAGGTATGTATTTATATTACTCAGAAAGACAGGGAGGATGAAGGTATTCATACTCATGAAAGGCCAATTAGAGGCTATTCACTGTAAATGAATAGATGACCTGTCCCTGTAAGTGCCAGTCAGTTTCTTATCAGGCTGTCTTAGGATGGGTTAATTGGTACTAAACTGGTCATAGCAACATAGGTGAAGTTTCTGTATTAAATCGGCAACATGAATTTTCCCTTTCTAAGGCTGATCTGACTCACCATCCCTGATGAGTACCCAAGCTGCCGGTGTAAATGGTCAGCTGTCACTATGGTCCCATATCTCACCATACACTATATCTTGAGACTAGATGCAGCTGTCCACATTTTGGAAGCTGTAAGCTTAAATAGAGTTAAGCCCTTCTTGTATGGAATTGGGAAGAACTTATCTCCATTGGCGTGTCTGTCTGTCTGTCTGCCTATCTATTATCTATCTATCATCTATCCACACACATATGAAACTTCATGGAAACAAATATTTAAACATACCTTTTAAATATATGTTTATTATATGTAAATATTTACTACAAATACATAATACATAATTATATAAATATATTATACATTTATTTATTTTTAATTTATTTTATTATAAGATGTGGGTACAATTCAGGGTTAGGTATACAAATGTTCTTTATGCATGTACCCTTGTTGATGAGGTGTGTCCTCTCCTCTCCCCAGGAGATTCCCACTACTGCCAATCCTGCTCCCTGGCAGTTTCCCACTATTGCCAATCCTTTTCTTATAGTATTACGATAATTTATTCTGGGTACTGATTTGGCATTCCTACACAAAATGCTGCTGCTGGCACCAACCATTCATTGACTTATAGAATGGTTTTACTACTATATCTATTTCTTAAAAAAATTGTTTGCATTTTATATTCGTTAGTGGATAATAATTTTATTTTAATTTAATAAAATAAATGTGAGCTCTGATATATAATTTTTCATTTAATTTTACTTAAATTGACTTATAGCATGTTCGTGGGGTACCTGGAGATATTTTGATACACATAATGTATAGGTACGGTGATCTGATCAGAATAATTAGCATACTCATCATCTCAAATATTTATTATTTCTCTGTGTTGGGACCATTTAATATCCTCCTCCTAGCTATTTGAAATTATGTAGTATGAACTATAGTCATCCTATACTGGTATAGAACACTAGAACTTATTCCTTCTATTTACCTATAATTTTATTTTTTATTTTTTAATTTTTTTTTCTACTTTACTTTTTTTGAACAAATTTTTTATTTTGTTAAAATAAAATTGTGGGGTACAGTTAAGGGTTAGGTATACAAATATGCATCGTTCAGGCACCCTTGTTGATAAGGGGTATCTCCCCATCCCCAGACAAATATTGACTACCATTAATCCCACCTCCCTTCTTCTCCTATCCCCCCCATAGTTTCCTGGCACTGTCAACCCTTTTTTATAGTATTATGTTAGATGTTCAAGGTTCACTTATGAATGAGAACATGTGATACTCAGATCTTTGTTTCTGTGAGAGATCACTCAATATTACAGGTTGCTGTGAAATGCATTTTTTATGGCTGTGTAGTATTCCATCATGTATATGTACCACATTTTTAAAATTTGGTCCTCTTTTGATGGACAGCATGGTTGATTCCAGGTTCTTGCTATTGTGAGTAATGCTGTGATAAACATACATGTGCAGGTATCTTTTTTATAGAGTGATTTGAGTTCTTCAGGGTATATTCCCAGTAGGGGGATTGCGGGGTCATATGGGAGGTCAATATTTAGAGCTTTTAGGAATCACCACACTGCTTTCCACAGAGGTTGAACTAGTTTACACTCCACCAACAGTGT